ACGACCCATAACGCTTCACGAGGAATATACTGATAACGCTTAACGTTGAATTAGAGCGGGCCGGCAACGATTAACGGTAAATTAAAATAGCCCATAGCGGTTAACGAAAAAGGGCATGCAGACCCTCTATTAACGAAGACAGCCCCACCATCTTACCGTGCCTGTTACTTATTAAGCGCGACTGGAACAGACCAGTCGCGGCCAGCACCGCGAGTGTTACTGCCGCCGGTCAGATACCAGGGATATCTGCTTAGAGAACCTCTGCTACCAGACAACTGCCTAAACCTACGGCCTATTCCACAGGATTGTAAAAGTAGGGATGTTTCGAAAATAACCATTTACTCCAATATCAAAACAGCTATGGTAAAAATAAAAAGACGTGCATCATCCCGGACATAATGCCACACCACATGCGAAATTACACAGAAATGCGACGTACGGAAGAATGCGTTTTGGCTGCGAACATCTTCCAAAAACTTGGCATCTCTTAAGCATAGGCAAAAACATCTGGAACCACTTATCAAAACCACCCAGTATCTGCATGAAGTTCCACCCCCCCACTGCTATTCCAAACAACGCGTTTTTCTGGACCATTCCAATTCGCCTCGTAATTGTAGGGGTGCGTCTGCAATATTACATTGACCGCGAAAGCAGCAACGGCAAAAATACACATTCGTGCATCAACGCGGGCATGCCCGCAGACGGCGTATAAAATTGCGTGCCGATTACACAAAGAGAACCCAGTGTTTTGACTGCGAACACGAAAAACCAGCCGTTCACAACACTCCGTCCGGAGGTCCTGACCTCCTTCACGGAGTAATAAAACAAAATATTGATATGAAAGTGAATGAAATACCTCTAACACTACTGTTACACCGTTACAGTTTGAGACCTTCAACCGTTCTGTTAGAGATGGAAAAACAACATCCACTTCCAACAACTTACAAGATGTCACCATGCCATCAACCCTTGATAGCACTAGCTATCACCGTACACCGATGCAAATCCAATATTCTATGACGATGCCAACGGCACCTTCAAAGACGCCCTCCCACCGAACGACGATGTCGATGTCATTTGACACGACCAGACCTGAATCTGAAGTGAGCACACAGGGTGCCTTTGCACCGACATCAATCATTTACAAAGGTACGGTAATTTTAGCGTCTGGACAAATCTTTAAGCAATAGTTCTTTATTCACTACCTGCAGTGGTCGAAATACTTTTTTTTCAGTGCTCTGCAATATTGCAGAAGAGTCAAAATTTTGTTCTGCAATTTGGAAATACTTTCTGCAAATACACAAGCCTCCATACTACAATCTTGCAGGTTTATAAACATGAACTACTGATTGATATGCAAATTAGTGAAGACAAATTTTTTGAAGTCCAAAAAGAAACAAAAGATAAGTCAAGACAAGGTTGATGCAAATTAGTGAAGAAGCTCCTGTTGTTTCAGAACAGGAGCTTACTAGTAAGTGTTGTCTGTCCTTGGGGCCAAGAGTGCCAAATCCCAAGTGCCAATTTTTCCTGCTGCAAAATTGCAGGTTGTATGAATTTTTCTTCTGCAATCTTGAAAATCTATCTGCAGATTGCAGACTGCAGACAGGTATTTCGAACACTGACCTGTCATCTTCATCAGGGCTAGTATAACTGGTTTACTGTGCATCGGAGCTAAGTGTTACATGTACATCGGCTCATGTAAAACAAATGAGTGTCAATGAAAGAACTTTGCAGTTACTCAAGCAACTGGACATGATTTTGAAACCGTTTCCAAAATTACATACAGTTGCTTGAGTAACTTTACTATTCGATCATTTACCAAATTCAGATCTACTACCTAAAGAGGTAGGTTGAAGTCCCTTGTACATGAGCCCTGTCACAACATTGGCGCTTCAGCTGCAGGGTTTACATAGTTTATGATTCACTCTGTATTATGTCTGTATTGCAGTTAAAGTTCTGTTAACGTTAAAGTTATAGTTTTTAACATATCATTTCTAATTAGCGTTATTTATCAATCACTTTTGTTATTCATGTCACTATTTGTTTTGTTACTATTATCATTTTGATCATATTGATCAAATTTATTAATTACCTATTGTTATTTATTATTACCATTTGATTTGTTAGCATTATTTCAGTTGTTAATTAATTTTGTCGGGGAAGATCCCAGACAAGCCACTATGGCTTCATATCTTTCCCCAGCATTTTATTTTATTGTCAGTAATATTTTCATTTTATTGTTATTAAATATATGCGAACCAATAAACAAACAAACAAACAAACTCTAGTAACTGATTACAGAGCGCCACACCGAGATGTGTAACTCAGAGAAGATCACCCTTGGCGGGAAGGGATCAAGCCCCGGGAGATTTAGGAGACCAACCGGAGTGGCCGTATCCAGTGACAATGAGATATATGTGGCTGATACAGGTAATAAACGAGTCCAGGTCTTCAGTATGAATGGGGTTTTTCTCCGCCAATTTAAGACACCGGTGCCCGATACAAGTGGACAGTCCATGTCCCCTAAAGCTGTTGCCATTGACAGAGAGGGTGATTTGTGGGTCGCTGGTATCACACGTTCCTCTAAACTGTGTTGTACACACGTGGTTAAGTACAGTCGGGAAGGGTTGCCGGAATCCACATTCACGTTACCGCGTGGGACCTTTGTTGGAGCCCGAACCGGCATCGCTGCGGACAAGCTCAATGACAGAATCATTGTGACCGCGAATCTGGGCGACATCTATGTCCTTCTGTCAAACGGCTCGCTGATGCATGTATATGAAAGTCCCGCATTAGAACCTAACCGGGAGTGGACGATGAGTCGACATTATGTAGCATCAGGGAATGAAGGGAACATCATTGTCTCGCTGGAAATGAGGAATTTTGTACACGTGTACACCAGGGACGGTCATCTGATTTTCGGGTTCAGGATCCCATTCCCCAGTGGTGTCTGTACGGATAGTTTGGGGAACGTCATCGTTGCGAGCTTTACCGAGAACAGGGTGGACATGTTCACAAGCCATGGAGAGTTCGTCCGCACCGTCGTCCATACTAAGGTACCGGCCGGCATTGCTTTAGGACGGGGTGGGCAGTTAGTGGTGACCAGCCTAGATAAACACATCATCACCATCTTCCCGCGACAGACGGTATCACCATCAAAGTCAAAGTCAAAGTCATGCATAGTGGTGCATACCTAAACCCACATTTAGGTTCAGGTCCGGATTCAAGTCCAGAGGTTTAGGTTCAGTTCCGGACTTGTAAGTCCGGACCGAAACCCACGGCATATACAAAATTGCATGTTGGCAACCTTGCAATGTTGTCTGGGTGAAACTTTAACATAACATGGAGGCCGGTATTTGACGATGCCCGATGGTAATGTTTTCTTCATTTTGCAGCAAAGATTTTGCAATCTACGGAAGGTTTTTGGTGGTTTGGAAAAAAAGGGGTACAAAATGTATGTGAAATGGTATTTTATGGTAATAAGTCCAGACTCGGTTCTTGACTTTTACTAGTTTTTTTTGGACTTGAACCTAAACATTCTTACAAGTCTGGATCCAAGTCCAGTGAACCGGTATGCACCACTAGTCATGCACACGTCGAAGTTGATTTTCCAAACTAAAAGAAAAGTTCCATAAAAAGCTATCAATGTTTGAGAGAGAATTTCACTAATTTCTTTACAAAGATTCTAAGACCACTCTGATCTCTCCGTGAAGTTTTTTTTTCTTTGTATGTATGAAAATACCTGAACTACCCATGAACTAGGCCCGTTACATCCCCAAACTATACTGAACCTGCTACATGTATATCAAAGGAAAGGTCTCCCATGCTTCTTGTGCAGAGCGTAGGGTGGTGCCCATATCCATTTCTGTAGCCCTTGGGCGACACACAGTTGTGCAATGCACTACAGCAGGGGGCTAGTCCGCTGGTAGTGCTGTGTGTTTGACCTTCCCACACTCTTTCTCATATGTGCTGAGTGCTAAGCAGAGAAAGAAGTGTGTACCATTTTTAAAGTCTTTGGTATGACCCGGCCGGGGTTTGAACTCACGACCTCCGGGTTACAAAGCGAGCACTCTACCAATTGAGCTATTGCACATGTATATTAGACCTGCAGTATATGCGTAGTCAAGACCGATTGTAATCTTATTGTAGTGAAGTTGTAATTCAAGATCACGATAAATACGGCGTATTCAAGACTAATCGGACGGGCTTGCCATTTTGTGGTAGGGGAAGTCTTGAAATTCTGAAAAAAAATGTTTATATGTACTACTAATAGGGATTTTCTACAGCTCCACCACAGAGTGTTGCATTCGACACGTATTGTGTTACCAAAATATTTGGGTGCACCAGCAGTGTTCGAAATACCTGTCTGCAGTCTGCAATCTGCAGATAGTTTTTCAAGATTGCAGAAGAAAAATTTATACAATCTGCAATTTTGCAGCAGGAAAAATTGGCACTTGGGATTGGTGCTCCTGGCCCCAAGGTCAGACAACACTGTTCTGAAACAACAGGAGCTTCTTCACTAATTTGCATCATCCTTGTCTTCACTTGTCTATCTTTTGTTTCCTTTTGGACTTTGGTTTCACTAATTTGCATATCAGTCAATAGTTCATGCTTATAGAAGGATCTAATAATAAAGTCTGAAAGTATGAAATTAAAAAGAGTGATACATTAAACTTTAAAGAATTCCAGTAATGCTACAGATTTACAAAGCTATATATGATGTAAAGAAAGGCATTAATGGTTTGAGAAGGTTGTAGTATGGTGGTTTGTGTATTTGCAGGAAGTATTTCCAACTTGCAGAACAAAATTTTGACTCTTCTGCAATATTGCAGAGCACTGAAAAAAAGTATTTCGACCACTGACCAGTGTACCCACAGAAAAATATTGGATGCACAGCTCCAATGTTGGGTGCACTAAGGTGTACATGCACCCAGTACATGTATTTCCAGCCCTGCCAAGACTGAATAGTGAATGATTGAGATAATGACTGTGCTGCTTACTTGAAAGGTGTTTCTGCCACAGCCTTGGTGTACATCCTGACCATGTCTGCCACTTGTTCTGGTTCCTCCAACAACTTCACCACCACATCTTCCCATAGCTGGAGATGGACCAGGGCCTGGGGACACAACAGTACATTGTACATGTCATGGCTACTTTAGTACTTAGTTAATACACAAGGACATGAGACTATGATGAGAGGCTACACTGAATGGTGGCTATACCAGCCATATGGATACAGACAAACAGGTACAGAATGTACTGTGTCTGCACGAAACCACAATGCATGGTGCATAGCACTTTGGCAGAACGTCTCATTTAAGGTCATGTTTGCGTATGCAGGGCTCAAAATACTGGGTGCATGTGCACCTTAGTGCACCCAAAAATAATAAAATCTTTGTTGTAGTACTTATTTAAGATTTTGAAGTTAGCTCTCATTTTAGATTCAAGCTCAGAAGATGAGCAGTAAGACCTGCAATTAGGTTTTGTTTTATGGTGCACCCAAAACATTTTTTGTGCACCTAATTTTTAGGTTGGGTGCACCAGTGCACCTATTCCCAAAAATGAATTTTGAGCCCTGGTATGTAAAGATGACATCCTGTCTATAGTTCTCAAACGTTGTGCCGGAAAAGATATTGTATGCAATAAGCAAAGTTTTGATGCAACATTGACCAAACATCCAACCAAAACTGAAAAAAATGTGAGTTTCACACAGGTGCAATATGTTCTGCCAACATACACCAATGAGCATATTTCTTGAAAATACATGTTCACCTACATGTTCAAGTAGAAGTCAATTCAACAGATTTCCTACAAATGCTAATTTTTCGGTACCTCCTCAACATCTATCCTTGTAACGATGATGCTATTTTCTGTCTCCCTTTCCTTCTTCTTCCTCTTTCCCTTTTTGCTGTCATCAGTCATCACACCGTTGTTTCTCACTATATCCCTGAACTGCCTCTGTCGTTGGGTGCTGTGGTCCCTAAAACACACCAGAAAAAAAATTCATCATTGGTTATTATATATTAATAAGCATTTTTTATGTTTAGCAAATTGCTTTTGCTCTGTTTCTTCTTCTTCTCCAAACAAATAAGGTCAATGACCTGAACCAGACGTCTGTCACCATGGTAACTAGTGTTGGGTTATATCATGTTGCAATTTTATAGCAGGAGGGATTTAGACTCCTGTCTGACCATATATATATGAATGTGTTTGAGTAAGAATAAACAGAGCAGACCATATGTGAAGGTAAACATTATGCATTTGCTTTGCAAATATTACCTTTCAAGTTCAAATGATGGATTCATACTGTCTTATTTATACTATCCAAAAATGCTATACTTTCCTAAAACCTATAAGGCCACATCAATTTAATTTCTTGGTTGGATTCGCCCGCTTCATTTTTTTTCTGATTTGCAAAAAAAATTATTTCAGAATCAACTGCAAAATGCTCATATTTTGCCCTGAACAGTTGAAAACAGTCCTTTTCTTCCTAGTTGTTAATGTTACAGTTATTCCACCTTTCAATGCAGTGGTATCATTAAAAGTTCAAAATTCATTGTTTAAATTTTGAACCAGCCTGGTGTGTTGACTTCATGGCTCCTATCGTACCATTTGGGGCCATAATAGGATGCCTAGGCCTGTTTTTATTACTCCGTGAAGGAGGTCAGGACCTCCGGACAGAGTGTTGTGATCGGCTGATTTTTCATGTTTGCAGTCAAAACACTGGGTTCTCTTTGTGTAATCGGCACGCAATTTTATACGCCGTCTGCGGGCATGCCCGTGTTGATGCACGAATGATTGTGTATTTTTGCCGTTGCTGCTTTCGCGGTCACTGTAATATTGCAGACGCACCCCTACAATTACGAGGCGAATTGGAATGGTCCAGAAAAACGCGTTGTTTGGAAAAGCAGTGGGGGGGGTGGAACTTCATGCAGATACGGGGTGGTTTTGATAAGTGGTTCCAGATGTTTTTGCCCATGCTTAAGAGATGCCAAGTTTTTTGGAAGATGTTCGCAGCCAAAACGCATTCTTCTGTACGTCGCATTTCTGTGTAATTTCGCATGTGGTGTGGCATTATGTCCGGGATGATGCACGTCTTTTTATTTTTACCGTAGCTGTTTTGATATTGAAGTAAATGCATATTTTAGAAACATCCCTACTTTTACAATCCTGTGGAATAGGCCGTAGGTTTAGGCAGTTGTCTGGTAGCAGAGGTACTCTAAGCAGATATCCTGGTTATCTGGCCGGTGGTAGTAACACTCGCGGTGCTTACCGCAACTGTTGCTGGAATTTGGCCTGTTCCAGGCGCGCTTAATTAGGTACAGGCACGGTAAGACGGTGGGGCTGTCTTTGTTACTAGACACGACCATGATAGTCCGATCTTTATGTTAATGCAATGATTGTGTGTGTGTAATTAAAATGAACTTCGAACTTGAAGCACAGTATCTTTACACGCCCTGGGAGCAGTAATGGATTTAGCTCTTTGTATGTTTTATGCTTGTGACGCGCCCTCATTGTATTAACCGTTGCCTAATTATAATGTCTGCACAGTAGGTCTGGCGTTGACGCTTGGGATTTTGTTGAAATATATAAAACTTCACGGAGGATTGTCACCTATAGCTATGGCTTCTTGTTTTTATTTTTTTTCGCCCGCCCGCTCCATTCTTTTTCTAGAAAAATCCGTTAACCAAGAAATCAAATTGGTGTGGCCTAAGCAGCATTTTTTATGATTAACATATTGTTTTTGCTGTTTCCTCTTCTTCTTCTCCAAACCAATAAGGTCAATGACCTGAACCAGACGTCTGTCACTGTGGTAACTAGTGTTGGGTTACATAATGTTGCAATTTTATAGTAGGAGGGATTTAGACTCCTGTCTGACCATATATATGAATGTGTAAGAATAAATGTGTAAATGAAGTAAGAATAAACAGAGCAGACCATATGTGAAGGTAAACATTATGAAAATGCTATACTTTCCTAACATTTTATATTACTAGTACTTATAAGTTATAATAGTTCTGCTGAATAATAACTGCATCAAATTCAAAGTTCAACATTTACCTGAAGTATTTTTCCAGCCCTTGTACAACCAGAGTGACTTTCTTCCCTTGATAGATGTCCTTTACTCCATGGACGAAAGATTGTAAGGTCTCCACACAGCTGTCTCCTTGCTGTTGCTACAATGGAATGCACCAACAAGTTAAATCATCAAACAGTGTCAGTGTACAAAATACTTTTTTGAACCAGGTTGCCCTACGGCAAAAATTAGGTTGCCCATCAGAATTTTAGGTTTTCCCACCTATAAGTTATAGGCTGCCCCACCTATAAGATACATGTACTACTTTCCTCAAATTAAGTAATGTTACATACATAAGCCTTTGACAATATTTCTAACAGCCTTAGTTAACTGATACTAGTAATAGCCATTAATACCTAAAATTAAAAAGCATCTGCCGGATACAGTGGTGCAAGCCAAGTGGGCAGGATTTTTTTGGGGGGGAGGGGCATCCTTAAAATTCAGGTAGCACACTGGGCTACCTAGGTTCAAAAATAGGTTGCCCCAAGTAAAATTTGGTTGCCCGGGGCAACTGTTACTGGGCAACCAGGTATTTTGCACGCTGAGTGTCATATATGTTCACTGTGATAAAATTAACCACTAATGCCCCTCCCTATACAAACACACAAAAAAGGGTTATACATTTAAGCTGTTTCTTTTAGATCTCATTTTTGCCTTTCTTTCAGCTCATCTATTCTTCAGTCTATTTCTTGTCCTTACCTGTTTGTAGTTGTGAACCAGAAGTACAAAGTCAGCAACAGGAACATAGACCAGTGTCTCTTCTTCCTCTATGTCTTTGGTACTGACAGAGCCAAGCTGCAAAATACAAGCAGATTCCAAAAATCAAGACATTGATGCTTAGAAGACATGGAAAAGCACATTGTGTTAAATTTGTATAATACAATTGTGGCCTGAATGAATCTGAGACATACACAGTCAAACCTACCAAGGTGACCTCTTCAAGCTGGTCTATGGAGACCGCTTTTTCTCGGTCCCCAAAATTTTTCCCATTGACACAAGCATTAAGCAACCTGTCCAAGGTGACCACCTGGCCAACGCGACCGCCCTGAGTTGGGTCCGCTCAAGGCCTGATACCTGCCCATGGTGACCACATCATTTTCACTCATGTTGATTATTGATGATAACTAATGAGAAATCATGGAGAAACCAGCCAGTTTGCCTGGACTGCTGGATGATGTTTGATGTTTTTGTTCGACATAAATTTTTCCATGTGCCACCCTCCCCACATGCATTCACCACAGAACTGAAGATCCTTACAGCATATGACATTAAAACATCTCGACTTGGAAACAATTTATGTCTCAGTCATGTTGTGAGGCGACCCTCTTCAAGGAGACCACCTGTCCAAGGTGGCCACTTTTCTTTGGTCTCCTGGGTGGCCGGATTGGACAGGTTTGACTGTAGATAAAAAGAGTCATCGTGATGATAATATAAATCATAATAATGAATAAAGTGGGGTCGTGTGGCGCAATGGTAGTGTGCGCGACTCGGAATCAAGAGGTCCTGGGTTCGAGTCCTGACATGCCACCGATCTTGTGCCCTTGGGAAAGGCACTTTACACGACTTTCCCCACTAGACTCAAGTGAAAATGAGTATTGTCTGTCCAGTATCCGTTTCTATGTGCGGGCACAACACCAGCAACAGCTGCCTCTGTTCCGCATGTATTGCACTGTTGCAAATTTTCAAATCAAATTAAATGACCTTTATAATGTATCCTTGCATATGTACTAACCTGTATATCTTCACCAAAGTTATGAAGAGTTACAGTTCTCCTCCAGGTGACACTATAAGGGACTAGCTGGTCCATGATCTGGTACTTAGATTCTGAGCTGTGCAGCTGAGTTAGGATGTTTCCTCCACTGGGAGACTCTGCAAGGTGTCTGTCCAGAACCACTGTGATGTACTGAGAACAGGAAGAGAAGAGCACAACATTTCATACATTTTTCTATGCACTACTAGTGCTGTGTACCTAAAGCCAGTTTAGGTTCAGGTTCAGATTTCCGTTATATCATTTCCCAATGGAAAATGCGGCAAAATTTTGTAGCGAGCACTGCACTACCAGGGTTTAGATTAGAAGCAAGACATGTTGTTTGCGGGGCACGTCTCACGGGGCAAAACTTGACGATGCCCAATGGCAATTGTTTCAGGTGGTTCAAGAACAATAAGGGGAATGTGATATGATTATTTTTTACTTCAACCTAAACATTTTTACAAGTCCGGAACCAGCAAACCAGTACACAGCACTATGCATTACACACTAATACATGTATCAAGCCATGCCATGATTTAAGATTTCATCCCAAAATTTCAGACTACGTGACTTGTGAAGACAGAGAATTTCTGGTGCTGTTGGATGATTCTGGGGATACCGTACCTTTAAACACTCTCCTGGCTTCATGTTTTTGAAGGTTTCTCTTTCTGCCTGTATGTGGAACACAATGAAAACATGTGTACATTAGTACCATATGCAGGGTTCTAGCTAGTGCGAAGTACCGTAAGGGCCCCCTACGATAAATCCCCCCCCCCCATGCTAATTTTCAATACAGCATTATGGAAATTTTCAATGCTATTTGAAACCGTTACACCAACACTATTATCCTTTTGAGAGATGCAATAAATTGCCACATTTTGTGCTGCTTTCCTATTAACTCTACATATAACAAGTAAATACATGTTTATTATAGGATGATGATGCCCCCAATGAGGTAGAAGTTAATCTTGATTCATACAAACATACCCTTTTCTTTGCTGCTTCCAGCTCCTTCATTTTCTTCTTTGCTTCCCTCTCTTGCTGAAGTTGTTCCCTCTCTTCCTTCTTCCGCTGTCTTTCTAGCTCCTTCTCTTGCCTTTTCAACTAGAATAGTAATAAGAAGATATGAATAAATTCTGATAGAGTAATCAAGATCCTGATGAAATGAAAAACTTATACATTCTTATCAAAAGTTTCCAAACATAGTTTGTTTCCTAAATAAGTACAATTGTAATTTTTTGCAGTATAGGCCACACCAATTTAATTTGTTGTTTCTCGGATTCGTCCTGTCCATTTTTTTCAGATTTGCAAAAAAAAAAAAAGATTTCAGGTTCTAAATCAACTGCAAAATGCTCAATGAAAGACATATTTTGGCCCCAACGGTTGAATAAAGTCGTCATTTTCTTCCTAGTTGTTAAAGTTTTTCAATGTAACAATGCAACTTTGTTTCATTAAAAGTTCAAAATCTATTGCTTTTATTATAAACCAGCCTGGTATGTTCACTTCATGGCTCATATCGTAACATTTCCGGCTACCATGGGGTGCCTTGGCCTGTTTTTTTTTTATTTCGCCCTGTCGCTTAATGTTTTTTCTGAAACAAATCGGAGAAGCAACAAATTGAATTGGTGTGGCTTTATAATATCATATCATTCTATACTAGAAAGGCCAATATTTGCTTTGGAGCAAATACAGTGATGGGTTCACCACATTTTACGACATGGCAGGGAAAGAATGAGAAACACAAGGGAAAACAATGATTTACATTGATATAACTAAAATATGAAGTAAAATACAACTAAAACAACAGTTGGATAGCTATTCCCTACTTTATTGGTTAGGATTTTTAATTGCATAATGCAAACTGTTGATTTTCAAAATAAAAAAAAAACGTTCATGCCCCGCATTCCAATGCTGGAGCAGGAAAGCTTGAAATACCTACCAAAACACTTGAATACAGACATACTGTTAGTATGGAAATGCTCTGTGCAGGTGTTAATCAAGTTAAATCCCAACAGCCAATCAGCAAGAAATGCTCTGTGCAGGTGGAAATGCTCTGTGCAGGTGTTAATCAAGTTAAATCCCAACAGCCAATCAGCAAGAAGAATAGAGGAAAGCTGCATTCCTATTGGTTGATGCCCTGCATTCCATTGTGATGACTCATGCCCAAACGTGGTAAACACGGCACACTAACACAGTAATACATTTGCTATAACACAGCCAAAAAACTCAAATAAAACCATTCTAAAAGCCCGTATCACAAAAATTTAAAAAACGCCTAGGGGTATTTGCCCACTGTACCTCCATACCAAATTTCAGGATCTTAGGCCCTAAAATGAAGAAGCTGAATCCATTTTAAAAATGGCAGGAGAAGAAGGAGGAGAAGAAGAAACACCAGAACTAGAAAGGCCAATATTTGCTTTGGAGCAAATACAGCGATGGGTTCACCACATTTTACGACATGGCAGGGAAAGAATGAGAAACACAAGGGAAAACAATGATTTACATTGATATAACTAAAATATGAAGTAAAATACAACTAAAACAACAGTTGGATAGCTATTCCCTACTTTATTGGTTAGGATTTTTAATTGCATAATGCAAACTGTTGATTTTCAAAATAAAAAAAAACGTCCATGCCCCGCATTCCAATGCTGGAGCAGGAAAGCTTGAAATACCTACCAAAACACTTGAATACAGACATACTGTCAGTATGGAAATGCTCTGTGCAGGTGTTAATCAAGTTAAATCCCAACAGCCAATCAGCAAGAAATGCTCTGTGCAGGTGGAAATGCTCTGTGCAGGTGTTGATCAAGTTAAATCCCAACAGCCAATCAGCAAGAAGAATAGAGGAAAGCTGCATGCCTATTGGTTGATGCCCTGCATTCCATTGTGATGATTCATGCCCAAACGTGGTAAACAAGGCACACTAACACAGTAATACATTTGCTATAATACAGCCAAAAAACTCAAATAAAACCATTCTAAAAGCCTGTATCACAATAATTTTAAAAACGCCTAGGGGTATTTGCCCACTGTACCTCCATACCAAATTTCAGGACCTTAGGCCCTAAAATGAAGAAGCTGAATCCATTTAAAAAATGGCAGGAGAAGAAGGAGGAGAAGGAGAAGGAGAAGAAACATCAGAAAAAGCAATATGGGTTCACCACCACTTCGTGGTGTGGTGAACCCATAAATACTAGTATGCTGTAGTATAAAATTTACATGTTACATAATGCTGCACAAATAGTGGGTGCACTGGTAAATAATTAGGTTTATGTCGTACCTGGGCCGCGATTACATTCGACACGGGTGTTCCGGCCCGTGTGATAACTAGCGGTACGGCCCGGGGGTTCTTCACGCGTACGGCCCGGGTCTTCCAAATGTTCCATAGAACGATTCGAACGCGTTTCGGCCTAACCGCGTACACCGATTTCGAAATTCGAATACAGAATCCGGACATTGGAATTGATGTTGTTGCT